TTTCAATGAAACTTATTTTTAAATTACTCGAATACATTTGATTTTGAAATTGAAAAGTGAAATAGTTGCCTTTTCAAAGCAGCTAAATTTTAAAGTTATTCATATAAATTTTAATTTAATCTTATGAAATATCAAGAATATTAAAAAGCTTCGTTCGTGTCGTTTCAACTCCTTCATGAAGAAACAGAATACCGACTATTTTTTTTAATTTAATCAGTACCTAGAAAAAATTAAAATATTATAAATGTCTGAAATATCATGTGTTATATGGAAATAATGTTCACAAATATATTTAAGTCTGTGAGGTGTAGAAAATAATTGTATCAAAAATCATATTTGATTGCTTACACTAATATTCTTTACGTAATAATTCAAGATCAGTAAGAACTATTGAATTTGTTGTTATTACTGGATAAGCAACACGAGGACGACGTCAATGAACATCAGATGATAACTTAGCATATATAATGTGACTTTCTTTAATTAAAATGTTACTGATTCTTATAGATCTATGAAAAAAATATTACAGTATTTGAATGTTTTGCGAGAACTTTATAAAACATAAGAATATCAAATATTCAGAAATGCAGCACAAGAATAAGAAATTAAAACTTTATTGAATAGAACTCATAAGTTTGGCAACATATGTCAACTAATCGGAATTATGGATAATAAGTGCAATGTCACAGTGACGTAGTCAAGGGAGGAGCAAATGGGCAATTGCCAATTTCATTTGGATATTTGCCCATTGTAATTTTACTTTTACAGAATTGTTTATTTATTTTTGAATTAGATAGTAACTCTATTTGTTTTCTTCCGTCTGAATCATACATGCACTTTTTGCTTGTTCTTTCTATGAAGAACGAAGAAAAGAATCGCTTCTAGTATTTTTACCAGGGTTGCTAGATGAAAAACTTAAAATCAGGAAATGAATCAGAATTTTTTTCCCAAATCGGAAACTAATCAGAAAGAATAACTTTTTGCAGACTAAGAACTGTCATGTTCACATACTTGCACAAAAGGCTTCACTTTTTTTTCTTTCGTAGACTCATACTTTGCTTCCAAAACTATGTCATAGTAAAGAGAGACAACACAACTATTATATAGCTTAGAGTAATAGATCGTGTACTGTAAACTAAAGAGATTGATCGTAGTCGGATCAAATGAATGCTCTCACTGTCAAACTAATTAATTAAAAATATGAACTGCCAATAATGTATACACACACCGAGATATTCGAATTTCAAGAAGTTTACAGTTTGTTATGTGCCCACACTATGAAATTTCATCAATACCTAGTCATCTTTTTTCGTCATGGTTGGATGGAGTAGAATCATTTGCATAAGAGAAAACAATATCACGCATATTAAAAAGCAAATTATACGAAATCTAAGACAACATTAATTTTTTAATTATAAGGGTAATAAACAACAAATTTTTATTGCTGTCAAATTACTTTTGAATGTGTGTGATATTGCTTCTTCTTATGTAAATAGTCGTGTTCTATCCAACCATGACGAAAAGAAATAGAACTACAGGTTGATGAAATTTCGTAGTGTGGGCACATGACAAACTGTAAATATGTTAAAATTTAAACATCTCGGTCTGTATACGCTGACGACAGGTAACGTTTTAGTTGATCTGTGAGTGAGAGCATTCATTTGATTCACCTATGAGCAATCTTCTTAATTTGCTGTTGTATGGTCTGCAATTGTTAGTTAATACAAAAACCAAACTAGCGAAAGACACACAGTGTCGGATTCTTTTACGAAGCTAAAATTCTGTTTACGAAAAATAATAAAGATTATAGAACATAAATTCCATATTATTTTTCAAGTTTTCCTTTGTTTAAAATTTCTTCAATAAATGTTTTTGAGCTAAAATATGTTTACAAAATCGTTCAAAAAAATAATTAGCATTTATTTTTAAGTTCTGCAACGCAAAAATTTACTGATATATTACAGCACTCGTCAGCGGCTGCAGAACTTAGAAACTGCAAAAGATTAAGAAAGGAAAGAAGATAGTGAAATATTGGTTCATAATATTAATGAGTTATACTTGCGATTGATTTCGCTAGTAAAGCCACCATCTAAAAACATTTGGAATTCGCTAACAAATCAGAAAAAAATTCGGAAACATGTTCAAATTTGAGAAAAATTTCTGACTTTTTAGAAGATCTGGTAACTCTGATTTTAACTGTAAGTTTGGGTGAACATGAATTCAGTTTTATTGGGAAAACACTAACCACGTGAAAGTAGAAAAGAGAAACAAGAGCCCAGATCAAGAGAATACACACGAACATATATATGTATAGATGTATATACATATAGAGTGACACTGTACAGAGACATATTTGAAGAATCCTTAACACTACCTTATACATGTTTGTTTTTACATTATTAGTACTTTGTTGGGTGAAAAAAGTTTCGGACCTATCAATAAAAACCTCGCCCATTTCGCCCATTGGCTTTTTTCGACATAGGAGAGTTTGCCCATTGGTCTAAGAATCCTGGTTACACCGCTATTGGACATTAGGTTAGGTAGTAAGATTTATATTTTATTATGAAAGTATATATGGTGTGTGTGTGTGCGAGTGAAGACAAGAGCCTCATCTATATCCACACCTAATATCAATTATATCCTTTTCTGTCATTTGCATAATTGTGAGCTAGTTAATTTTTTTATTTTAGAAATCAAAGAAAAATCAGAACAATTATCTTATATCACCTGTTACCAATGCTAATATTCAAATCCGTATGCTGGAATTATTGTCGTTGGATTTACAGTCGTGAACAATATTTATAAGGCGTTTTTTATTTCCATACAAAGTTTAGGTGACTGATACCTTTTATGATCATGCTATGTTGTTGCGACTCATGTATTCCAAGTCTACGCAAAAATTATTGAGTAAAGATCACTGCAATATTTGCCATTCTAATTTTCATAGTAAAATAATCCTTCTTTTGTTCGTAAACAAGAGAATTGTCGAACATGTAAACGAACAGAACCGATCAGGTGCTAGTGAGTTAAAAAAAAAAGTAATGATCCTCAAAGAGACAGGATATTAGAAGTCATGAGGATCGTCCAAAATGTCTCGAGTTTATTGACACTACTAGAATATTATATTGCATATTTTGCTAGTACATGTATTACTAAGTGTGAAATCAGAACTAAAAAACTTTTTCTAGTCAAGATCAGGATAATAAACGATTGATCCCGCTCATCGGTACTCATTATACTTGAAAATTTAATAAGCTTCATAAAAAAGAAAAATTTCTTTCTTCTAATCATTTGAAACCAATCGAGAATGATTAAATAGTTTATCATTAATTTTCCTCTTTTTTATAAATATATATAATGTTCGAATTATAGCAAATAAAAAATAGAAAATATGCATACACATAAGAATTGACTATAATCATTCAGAACAAAACAAAAAAAAAGAACATATTTTCTATGTGTCAGAAGATCAAATATACTTATTATCTGATACATAAGAGATTTTCTTTCTTTGCTTTTTTTGTTAAATAAAGATAATAGATGCAAAAAAAGAAATCACTGTTTGTCAATTATTATTTTTCTTTTCGCTTTTTATAGATATTGTCCATGGAATAAAAATAAATAAATGAAATAAAGAAAAACAAAATATTTTAATGATGTTTTTATTTCTTTCATGAGATTAGAAATAAATAAATAAAAATTATTTAGTTTGATTTTTAATAAAAATCTTAAAATAGACATACTATTGATTTAAATAAAAGAGCTATTAGTTGTCCAAGTATTGTTTCAGCATATAAAGATGCAGCTGAATTAATTTTTTCGACAACTAATTAAGAATTTGGATATAAAAAAAAATTTCAGTTTTGTTTTCTAATCAGTTAATCAATAAGATTGACAAGTTTTATTAATTATCGATAGAAAATCTTGATTAGATGATGGAATACGAAGTTGTGATTGACATGTCAATGTACCCGAACTCATCAAATCAGTGAATACCATACTTTTAAAAAAAATATATATTCATGTTAAATAACCTAATAAAAAAAACTTATTCTTGCGAATCGATAGTCTTTCGTCGTAAATATTGTGAACAAGGTAAATTAAGTTTAAATTCAATTCGATCTGTTTCAATTATATTTAATTTCTAAATATATTTGTCAAAAATGAAGATAACAAGTATTTTTTTTTATTTGTTTAACATACATTTATAGAATAAGTCAATGTTGTTTTTAAGTTTTGAGAAAATGATATAGCATTTATTTAAAAATAAATATGAATATAATTTGGCGAATGAGGAAAAAGACTTATAGATGGAAATGATATTAAATTTGTACTTATTGTATTTAATAATTTCGAACTCATACTATCAATAACATGAATATTAATATGATCAATAATAAATGATGTTCGATTTAAAAAAAAAATATTACATCCACTTGAGCTATTAATGGATCTGGATTAATCAAATATTCCTAAAAATAAATTTATAACAGATTGTTTAAATGCATATTCAAATGATTTCAATGGTAAAAAAAGTAATATCTCTAACATTGGTGTGAGTTAGGGATGGACAAATTTGACTTTTTTTTTAGATTGGAATCTGAATGGATCTTTTTTGTTTGTGTAATAGTCATTTTAGTGAATTTCTCTTCAGGTCATCTTCAAAATCAAGTTCTTGATAGGATTAATTCATTGTGTAAGTGTCAGAAACTTCCGAATACTTTCTATCCTGAGACATCAATATTGAAAATTCTGTTACGAAGAAAAGCGAACTTCATCTTTTCATATCTCAAAAATAAGTTTTTTAAAGATGATCAGACGAAGATTTTCTCTAATCTCAATAGAGTCTACCACCTAATGAGATAAGACTCATGTCAAAAGCATTTTATCACTTAACGAACTTTTCTCATCTATTGTTAAACTAGGATTATTATTGAATTTACAATTGTCAAATTGTCAGATTGAGCAGCTAGTTTATAAGTATCTTATTCATTGTATTGTTACTCAGATTGATTTGTTGAATGAATATCATCCGTCATAGTGTCCAATAGAAGTGGCACAGAATTATTTGTATGTACTATTGTTGTTGTTTCTGATGATGATTTTTTTACTTTGGTTTTCTCTGCAGTACCAGGAGGAGCAAGAGAAAGTGTAGAAGAAGTTGGACCATTTCCTTCTTCATCAGCTGGTGATAATAATTCTTTATCATCACTACGTTCTCGTTTGTGTTTGGATTTCGATGTTGATAATTGTTCTTGTTTTTCAATTATTTTCTTTTTCTTAGATTTTTGTTTTGGCTTTTCAGTTAATATAGGAGGTGTTTCAACTTGTTTAGGAACTGATTCTTTTCATTGAGATGTCAATGGTGATGATGTAGGAATCGATTGAATAGGTTTTTTATTTAAGTCAATATTAAGTGCTCGATATAGATCATATTTTTTATTTTTTTCAACACGCACGTCATTATCATTATCTTTATTTTCACTTTCTGTAGCATTTTCTGGTAATTTACCACCATGTGTTACTTTAACAGTTGGATAAATATCATCATCATTATCATGAATTACTTTTGCATCAGTTTTCGATTTTTTTCTTTAAACGTCGATTTTCTTCATCAATTTTTGCTTGACGATATAATTGATCAGATAGTGTTACTTGTGAACTAGTAGCATTTGTTCTTTGTGATAATGATAGTTCAAGTCCATAGCTTATTGATGTCGAGATATTGCACTTTTACCGTAGTTTTTAAATGAATGTCGTAGTTAGAGCCTGTCGGATTAGTTTCGGATCCGAAAACTTTGAATTCGATGGGTTCTAGCCATGATACCTCACAGGAATATCATGAAAACTAATTTTCGAATTTTGACTTGGAACTCTTCATAGGGACAAACCTTAACGAGACTGGTTTCTTGTGAATGTTTCAGATCTTGTTATTGCTCCTACCTTAAGATAAAGGTATGATAAAAACTTGTCCATTATATCTGATAACAAATTCGACATTCTTATGTCAACATAGACGATAATCAAAAGATTTGAAACGTTCATAATAAATCACTAACACTAAAAACTTATTTGTGTCAATTTTGGTTTTTTTTTGAATCTTTTAAATAGAATGAATTCATTTGTTCACTTTGTTTTTTTGATTCTCGTTGTTTTTCTAATTCTTCAGCAGTTGGTTCAATATATTTTTCGATTTTTGATAACTTAATGTATCGCCAGAGTATGAATTACAATTAGAATTTTCTCCATTATCATCATAAAATAAACCTTTATTATCATAATATGAACTTGTTGTTATCGATTCATCTTCACTGTCTGATTGAGGATCATTTATCCAACCATCCAAATCCAAAAACTTTGAGCTTTAGCAGCAATTGGATTAAGAACATCATCAAATAATACTGATAATTCATTAATATTAAATTCAGATTTTTCAATTAATTATAATATTGTTTTAAAAATATGTTAAATAACACTTGGCCTAAATAAATAGTTTCTTTTTTTTAAATATTTGATATTTCGAGCTATTGGTAAAAGAAATCCGGATATTTATTATGATTATTTTTCTAACATTTTTATGAACTTTTCAAGTTCAATTAGTTTCGATCAACATTTTCAAAGCAACACTTCTCAGAATTTTATGACGTATCATCTAGGAATAAATTAAGTATATTAGTTGCCTGATACGGAAAAACAAACTATAGTATATTTGAGCAAATAGATTCTTTCGAAAAATATTTTTTTAAATTTTGGATAGTTGATGCCGATTAATTGTGATTATCTAGCTTCTTTCACTGGAAAGATTTCTGACAAATAGATACCATCTATAGATTGTATTTAGAATTCAACAATCAATGTAAAACTTTGAAAAATATATAAGTTTTAAATTGTATTATTTATTTGAACCATCGTCAATTAGGACAGGTCTGTATTGAAGGTTATATTTGGGACGATTGATGCTCACAAGGGTTTGGATCCATATGCTAGTGCATCCAACTTAAGTTTGGTGGTGAAATGCTCAATCCAATAGTAAATTCAAATTTAAATAAAAGTGTCGGAAAAAAAGTTACATATTCACCAGTCATTATTTTTTAGTTCTAATGGAGAAGGAGGATCTTCAGTAAATTCAAACGGCCTGTAGTGTATAGAGTAAACATATAACGCTGCATAACTATATAACATCTGATGACTATCATTAAAACTTCAATTCGAAACATACGTTTTATTTATATTATTTTATCTATTTGATAACAGCTATTGCACGACAGCTATTCATTTGCAATTAGAATTCAAAGTGTAATTAAATGCAGATTCATAATAGATTTATTGCTAGCTACAACCTAGATTCAGATATCATAAATCGATTTTATCGCCAGACTGTCTATTGTGTGGGGAGGTAGGCGCGTGAATATTAGGTGAAAAAATGAAAATCGAGTTTTTAATGATTCAGATAGTGATTAATATATTTGAAAATATGCTCTTTTTGATTGCGTAAAAATTGCTGCGTAACATAGAAAATCACCTGATCCAAAGTTACCCTAAAAATATTGCTAAATTACGAAAAATTGATTTTTATTCAAGATGTAACCAACTAATTGGCAAAAAGCAATACATATTCTAAAATTTGTGCATTCTCTAGTGAAACAAAAATTTTATTTTGAGTCGTTACCTTTGAGAAATAAGATGAACATTTCTACAATGAATTTTCCAAACCACTTCGTTATAGTATAATGAATGTGCATCTCTTAGTACCAATTTAAGTCTACTCACACTTTACCTACAAGCCCTTCTATATGACCTGCATCAGCACAGATAGCATAAACATTCCTGGATCGTACAGCAGATTTTCAGCTGAGTTTCTCTTTTGCTGGCTCTAAAGCATTTCTATTTAAAACCAATGACTTATTCGAAATCAACATATGAAACTGCGTTGAATGATGTATGATAAAAAATCTTCTTGAAGATGATCTTTTGAGCAACAGAACTTACATGTTCACCTTCCATGTGAAAAATGCGATTTTTTTTATCTTGATGTCTTTTAAAATAAAAAGAAAAAATGGCCTACTCGTTCTTGTGCTTCGACATCACCACTTGATAAAAATAGAGACATTTTATCAATCGTTAATGAAAGAAGTTGTTGAATTAATGTTTCATCATTATTCGATGATTGAATTAAATATATTATAATTTATAAAATATTTTGATTTTTTAATGACTATAGAGAAAAGAAAAACAAGAATTCTTTCAATTAATTTTGTTTTTCGTTATTGACTTACGAACAAAATCCACTACAAATCCATGCAGCAGCATATAGAACTTCGGTAACAGTTGTAGAATTTGAATTATTAATAAAAACACAATCATTTTCAAGGAGAATTGCCTGAAAGAATAGATATAAAAAAATTTTTTCGTGATTTTATCTTTAAAAAATTTCTATCAGTTGATTACAAGCAAATGAACGAATAGATTCAACACGAACAGCAACATCAAGCATTTGCAAAGATATGAGATTACCATGTTTTGTACTTTCAAGACGAGTTAATTCAACCAATATACTAATATATCTATAGTGATAAATAATGTTTTTTTATTAATAAAAATTAAAAAAATTAATGTAAACCATTCAAAATTAGTTATATGTTAATAATCATTTTGACTACATATTTCAATTATTTTTGAAAGTAATTCATCTCGATAAAGTGATCGTTCAGATTTATCCATATGAATCATTAATTTATGTGCGATATCTATTAGAGCTTTTCTTGTTACCTGAACAAAAACAAAATTCATAATCAAAATGTCATTGATTTTTTAGCTAATAATTCATTTTCTTACCATTCGAGAAAGAAGATCAAGTGCACGTCAACGAATTGATTCATCTTTATTATCCAGACAAAGCATTATTAAATCACTATGTACTTGAACACTTTTTGAATGTGTATGTAAGATTTTCGACATAGCAAGTAAACCAAGATATTTTACTAAAAAATAATATAAAAATTTCCTTTTTTTTGTATAATGAATATATTTCATACAATTTCGATCTTAATAAATTAAAAATTTTCTAAAGGTTTATTCTGATCAATTATGAATACAAAATGAAAAATATCTACAAAGTTCTTTCAATGTTTAATTCTTACTATTCTTCTAGAAAACATTTTATATAATATAGTGAAGATTGTTTTGTTTATTTTAAATTCTTTTAAAAATGCTAATACGTATATGATAAACAAGTTGATGGTTATAATGATGATATCCATATATTCCGAACCATGTTCTTGAAATATCTAATCTCCAGCTACATGCTATTGGTGATTTTGATGAATATTGTATTGATTCTTCAGCAATGGCTTGTCGTAGTCGTGCAACATATCTTGATTGTATAAGACAACATCCACTACCAAAAACTATTGATTCAATTCTAGTCAAAGCAATAGCTATTCCTACTAATATAAGAAATCCATGTCTATCAGAATTAATATTTGTTATTTCACCAACAATAAAAAAGGCAATTCCAGGTGCTATGATCAAACCATAAGCAATAGCAAGAATTATTAAAATTTTATTTGAAGATATTTGATGATTTATGTTATTAGTTGATTGTCGAAAAATCATCTTGATTAATAATACCATTTAAATGTATTGGATATGTTGAATCAAATTCTGATTAACAACATCCAGCTTATATATTACTAAATAAAAATTTTATTAAATTAAATAAATCTCTATAATTTACTTTGAACCATTGGTATATAAACTGAATTAGGATTTACTGGAACACCAATAATTCTTTTTTTTTGTCTGTTAAATAAACTCAATCATAAAAAAGAATTTCCTAGATAAAATAAATTTTGAAATATGAAAATTCTACATTCGAGTCATGGACTTGAAAAACCCCTGGTTTTTTAATTAATTCTATTTATCGATTAAAATTCATTGTCATTTCTGTTGTAACGATAGTTTTTAGACCCGATCTCGATCTTTTGGTGATCGAATTTGGCACAACAAAAAATTCAATTAAAATAATGACTAAATAAACAAAGGTCATATATGAATTAATCGGTTTCTATAATAAATTATTTATAAGATAAATATTTGTTTCTAATGAACCTCATTATCAAAAAAAGAAATTAATTTAAGATATTTGAATTTAAATGTAGGCACAAGAATTCACTGCGACTATTCTTGATGATAGCAACTTTTAATTTTATAGCAATTTCATCTTGGAATAGGATGACTCTTGAAATTTATCTTTAATACAAACTATAAACTAAATCGTGACATAGGACATGAGAAACTTACATTAATCTTATACTGATATATAATATTATCATGAGGAATAACCCTAATCAATTGCTCTGTGGTTGTTTAATATTAAACATCTGAAATTTATTTGACTGATTATGAGTTTTTTAAGAAAAAAGAACAGATTTTATGAAGAATTTTTACAATAATATGAATATTTGATAGGTTAACCTTGCCTATGTTTGTCATCAAAAAAGAGGAGTCATCAATAAAAATATCATTAAAATGATCATGGTATTGAATTTTAGTTTCAACAATATTCGAGTATTTCTCACCATCTCTCGTTAAAATCGATATGAAAATAAAATAGATTACTATAACTATTGTACAACTTATAGAATTTTTAAACGAACACGATATTGATGCAAAGAATTAATCAAAGAAAAAATATATTACGCCTATTGTAATGAAGAGATAATAATAAATGATTGAAACTAAAAGGTTTCTCATAATATTCACGGTAGAATAGAAGAAAAAGTTGAATAGGACTCAAGCAATAAAAGAAAAGAATAAAAAGAGTCTGTTCGTTTTTATTTTTATTTTAAATAGATTCAATGGCAACATACATCATTTTACATTTATTTCGTAATGTTGCACATTAAATAAATCGAAAGAAGAACAATAAATTACGATTTGCACCATTACAAAGCGACAATTTTTCTTTATTTTTGGCATTGAAAATAGATCAATATATATCTTTTTTATATAATCATTT